ATCTCAGTTGTCCTCGTTTTTCAAGGACCGTAACTTCCCCTCCTCGGTGGTCGAGAACGCCCTCAACCGTGTCTCCCACATCTCCCGCACCTCATCCCTCACACCCCGTCCACGCAATAAAAACCAAAAAAGAATCCCCCTCGTCCTCACGTACCACCCCACCAACCTCCGGATCCAACGCATCATCCTCCGACACTTCCGCCATCTGCAATCCGACCCCACCACCAAAGACATCTTTCCCTCCCCACCTTTATCTGCTTTCCGGAGGGACAACTCTGTCCGTGACTCCCTTGTCCGCTCCACACTCCCCTCCAGCTCCACCACACCCGGCACTTTTCCCTGCAACTGCAGGAAGTGCTACACCTGCCCCCATACCTCCTCCCTCACCCCCATCCCAGGCCCCAAGAAGACTTTCCACATCAAGCAGATGTTCACCTGCACATCTGCCAATGTGGTATACTGCATCCGCTGTACCCGGTGTGGCTTCCTCTACATCGGGGAAACCAAGCGGAGACTCGGGGACCGCTTTGCAGAACACCTACGCTCGGTTCGCAACAAACAACTGCACCTCCCAGTCGCGAACCATTTCAACTCCCCCTCCCATTCCTCAGACGACATGTCCATCCTGGGCCTCCTGCAGCCCAATGGTATCAATGTGGATTTCACAAGTTTCAAAATCTCCCCTCCCCCCACCGCATCCCAAAACCAGTCCAGCTCGTCCCTGCCTCCCTAACCTGTTCTTCCTTCCACCTATCCCCTCCTCCCACCTCAAGCCGCACCTCCATCTCCTACCGACCAACCTCATCCCGCCCCCTTGACCTGTCCGTCCTCCCTGGACTGACCTATCCCCTTCCTAACTCCCTACCTCCACTCACCTTTCCTGGCCCCATCCCCGCCTCTTCGACCTGTTTGTTTCTTCTCCACCTATCCTCTCCTCTATCCGCCTCCCACTCTCTCCCTATTTATTTCAAAACCCCCTTCCCCTCCCCCTTTTCTGATGAAGGGTCTAGGCCCGAAACGTCAGCCTCTCTGCTCCTATGATGCTGCTTGGCCTGCTGTGTTCATCCAGCCCTGCACCTTGTTGTCCTGGTACTAACACTAATTCTTTACACTAAAGTAATCTAATTTCACTATATCCGTCCCCTCTCAGGGGCGCTGGTATATACAGTCATCTTCATCCAAGAATTTCACAGGATTGTTCAAAACTCAAAATAAAACTTTTTAAAAAAAACTCTCTCTCTCACTCAGTTATGGGTGTTTAACATAAGCTTAGCTGATTTCACTTATTCTATCCAATTTAGCCAAAGCACAACCTCCAGTTTATTCTTTATGCCCTCCCTTTCTTGATACCTTCCCATTACAACAAGTACATTCAAAGTTGTTTGGGGATCTGACCATGTTTCACTCCCTTTCCTTATTTACATGGTACTCCTCAGAGATGTTATCAAAGCCATAGAATTAACTTTCACCCATAGACTGATGACACCTAGATCTATTTCTCCACTTGTTCTTGATCCCACCATTTTGTCAGATTACTTGTCTGATATTTGGCCTTGGATAGGCTGTAGTTTCCTCCTAAGGGACATTGGGAAGACCAAAACTGTAGTCTGTCAGCCTTTGTCACAAACTTCAATTTTGCAACTAATTCAAACCCTGCTCCCTGGCCACTATCTCCTGTTGAATCAGACTTGGCAATTTTAGCTTTTTACTAACCCTGACCTGAGACTTAAATCCCATATCCTCTTCATCAGAGAGATTGTCAACTTGTAGCTCCAGAGCATCACCTTCCTGTATCATTCTTCCTTAACCTGTCCTCATCCTTGCCTTTTGTATCTCCAACTATTCCAATGCATTTTTGACTGGCTTGTCAACTTTTGTGCACAATAAGCAGTGACTTCAGTGAAACTTTGCTGATTATGTGCCATTCCATATAAAACGGTGATTATCACATTAGTCTTTGCTGACCTACATTGATTCCCAGTACCCCGTGTTTGCAATTTAAAATTCTCATCCCCCTCACCCAGATGTTAAAGAAATATACCTCACTGTTTTCCAGGAGAAGATAACGTTGGACATGCTATATGTAGGATTCTGAAAATGTTCAGTACCATTGGGATTAAGCTTTTAAATTATTTCATTAGATTGGTTTTTGCTTCAAGCAAAGTTTTTGACTGAAATTAAATGGGAAAATCATGATCTTTAGTAGCATACAAGTGGAGTTAGTTATTGGAATAAAGTGCAAGAAGCTGATAAGAATATAGGTCATGCAAAGTTGCTGATGTTGAGTCACAAGCTGAACTTGTTGTGCTTGGTGCAGATGCTGAATGCTGCAAACGAATCTCCTGAAGAATCTCATGTTGTTTGTTTACTTGTGATGAGGTTAAGAAAAATGAACATCTCTTTCTACCATAGATAACAAGGTACAGAGCTGGATGAACACAGCAGGCCAAGAGCATCAGAGGAGCAGGAAGGCTGATGTTTCGGGCCTAGACCTCTACACCTTGTTATCTCAGATTCTCCAGCATCTGCAGTTTCTACTATCTCTGAAACAATTTTAACCCCACTGCGAGGCAGAAGGGTCTAGGCCCGAAATGTCAGCCTTCCTGCTCCTCTGATGCTGCTTGGCCTGCTGTGTTCATCCAGCTCTACACCTTGTTATCTCAGATTCTCCAGCATCTGCAGTTCCTACTATCTCATCTCTTTCTACCCTTGATTTCAACTTCATCCCATGGCACTTAATACCTACATGACACGATATATAAGCAGTACTTTTCACTCTCGTAAGTTGCAGGTTCTGCAAATCCTGCAATGGAAATTGAGGCACTCAGTTGGGAGTTGACCCTAATGGAGTTGGGATGTGGCGGCCAAGTGGAAGGAGGAAGGTTGGTTCCATTTGTCTTTATCACATGGCTTCATCAGAGATAGGCAGAGGCCAAAAAAAGTCACCCTTTTGAGCTCTTTCTCTTAGTGAGGAGTACGAATATAATCAGCTTTGTTTATGTAGCCTTGACTCTTCCTTTTCCCAGGCCTGGCTATTTGCTTTCAATTCCTGTATATGTTTGTCTTTGTCCTTTAATAGTTTATTCCAGACAGATTTATGGCTGATTCTTGCAATCCGTGAACAGTCATTAAAGTTCTGAAGTTTATAATATCACAACCTGAAAGGGGAGGTGGTGCACATTTGTTGAAATTATTGCTTTTATTGTGAATCACGGTACTGCAGATGGAGTGGTTTGACACTTGGCAAAGATTTGCAAATATAGCAGGGAGGGCTGCAGCATCAGGGCAAAGCCTGGCATAGATATGAAGGGTTGCTTGGTTACTGTTTTCCTCCTAAGTAATTGTGCTTCGAGAAATACATAATAACTGGTATTTTGAGTAGAATTTGATTCTAATTTGCATCTTTGTGGAATGAACCAGTATTAAGGAGATAGCAGGAACTGCAGATGCTGGAGAATCTGAGATAACAAGGTGTAGAGCTGGATGAACACAGCAGGCCAAGCAGCATCAGAGGAGCAGGAAGGCTGACGTTTCGGGCTTGGGGACCGCTTTGCAGAACACCTACGCTCGGTAAACAACTGCACCTCCCAGTCGCGAACCATTTCAACTCCCCCTCCCATTCCTCAGACGACATGTCCATCCCGGGCCTCCTGCAGTGCCACAACGATGCTACCCGAAGGTTGCAGGAACAGCAACTCATATTCCGCTTGGGAACCCTGCAGCCCAATGGTATCAATGTGGATTTCACAAGCTTCAAAATCTCCCCTCCCCCTACCGCATCCCAAAACCAGCCCAGCTCGTCCCTGCCTCCCTAACCTGTCCTTCCTCCCACCTATCCCCTCCTCCCATCCTAAGCCCAACCCCATCTCCTACCTACTAACCTCATCCAGCCCCCTTGACCTGTCCGTCCTCCCTGGACTGACCTATCTCCTCCCTACCTCCCCACCTACACTTACCTCTACTGGCTCCATTCCCGCCTCTTTGACCTGTCTGTCTCCTCTCCACCTATCTTCTCCTCTATCCATCTTCTATCCGCCTCCCCCTCTCTCCTTATTTATTTCAGAACCCCCTTCCCCTCCCCCATTTCTGAAGAAGGGTCTAGGCCCGAAACGTCAGCCTTCCTGCTCCTCTGATGCTGCTTGGCCTGCTGTGTTCATCCAGCTCTACACCTTGTTATCTCAGTATTAAGGAGATCTGCTTTGGGTGGAAAGGGGTTTAAAAAAATTGTCAAAATACGAATCATTATTTTAGTAGCATGTAACTAAAATTTTTATAAGCACTGTCTGCTTTCTTTCACTTGATGCTATGACACTCAATATCTCAATGTATATTGCGTACTGTTTTTCTCACTTTTATAGCAATGCCTGTGCTCCAAGTGATTTGAGTATTTTGGGATAACTTGAAAATGAGTAAGATACTATATAAAATATATGTTGTTTCTTGATTCCCTACTTTAGGCTAATTTCCTCTCTATTGCATGACATCTGGTAACCAGATGATGAATGTGGAATCTTTAGCAAGCTCTAATCAATTGTTTAAAGGTGTTGACTGCTTCATGAAAAATACATAAAAAATGTTGTCAATTCTGTAACATTCACATCAAAATGTCCACCCGAAGTGTCTCCCATAAAATTTTCCAGTTGCTAGACTCCAAAAAGCATAACTTGATCCACTAAAGCTTCTTTGTAAATCCATTATAGTTTGTGGTCAACGTACAGTCCCGCAAACAAACCCTTGTGCTATGGATTTATTTTGAAGTTCTCGGGGAATGAAAGATTGATTTTGAGGGACATATCTTGGAAGTTTAGGTTTCTGGAGATTTATTTGCCAGTTGCTGAGAGTTCTTCATACAAATGATGGAAATAAACCTTGAAACAATTCACACACAAGTGGGCTCCTGAAGTTTCCGCTATTTGTGTGTTGCTGTAGGCATCATGACCATTATTTTGGTATGTCACTTAAAACTTTCATCCAACATGTATATTTTGTTTTCTTGGCAGATCTGTCAAAGAACAGACTGAGTGAAATTCCACTGGAAATATGCCACTTTGTCTCCTTGGAGATGTTAAACCTGTATCACAATTGCATCAAAGTCATTCCAGACTCAATCATCAATCTGCAAACACTGACCAACTTAAACTTGAGGTGAGTACAATGATCAGATTGGAAAGGTCAATATGCCTTGTTTGTATTTGAGAAGTGAGATGGAATAATATCTACATTATGAGCAATGCATATAACGCTTTTCATAATTTATGGTGTGATAGCAACCAGCATTTTATTACTTTCTTGGAATAGTTTTATTGTTTCGTGCATATCCAAGCAATCTGGACTTCTGGTGATGATGGTGTTTTATGGCTCTTTGATCTTTAGTGTTTACATTATAATGGTTATGGGGATATAGTGGAAAATGGGGTCGGAGATCATCCATACTCATATTCAGTGGCAGAGCAGGCTTGACAGCTAAACGGCATATGCCTACTCCCACTTCTTAATTGCCGGCTGTGAGTGCCCTGTCCTCTGTTGCTGCATTTCACACCTCTGTCTAAACTTCTAATATGCCAAATTTTTACAACAATACTTCTTTGTTAAATGTGCCAATCTACTAATAAGTAGAACTCAATAGCTTCAGAGGTTGTATGCTTTTAACTAATTAGTGCTGCTCACTGGTGCATACGTGGTTTCTGCCAATACTTATACTTTTGACATTGTAGATGAAGTTGTCAAGAATTGCAAAAGCCACTTAAGGCATTTACATAGCTTTTCTGAGCCAGGAGTCCCTCTAAGTCATGTTTTCTCAACTTCAGCTAAGTTGTATTGATGGCAGGGAACACACCATTTCCAATAAATTTGATATGCTGATTTCAAAATATGCTGTTGCCTTGATGAATCTCAATCTAGTTGCTTCAGTAACCAAAAAGAACAAGCCAGATAAGATTTTAACAAAAATCATATTACTATAGGTAACCCTATAATGTTGAAAAACTGGAATTTAAGCAGTTGTTGCATTTGCCAGAGAGATTTAAAATCCTAAAGGCTCCTTCTATTATGGTCTTGTCCTTGGTTGCTTCCGTCCTGAAAGGGGAGCAGGTGAAATAAAGGGCAGTGGCCACTTAATCTCTCTACCCCGATTCCCCCTGGAGTGAGTTGAAGCGAATTTGATGTAAAAGCTTTTCTGTGAATCAATTTAGTTTTACTATTTTGTGAACTTTGGTTTGGTATTCCTAAAGTATGAGTTATTTCAAGTTGGCCAAGTGTTGAAGTGGTACCCAGTGATCCAGACATACTTTCAAACACTAGAATGCTACCAAAACAGCTATGGTAACATTCTAATAATTTAAACTGTTCCAGCACGACAGGTAATGGAGGAGCAAGAAATGCTCCAACAAATTGAGAGGATTTTAATTTAATGATTTTACTTAAGGTGAAATTTCTTCACACAGAAAGTTCCCAGATTTTGGAATACTGTGCCATAAATAATAACTTAGATAAGACATCAGAGTGTAAACACATGAAGCAAAAGATCGGATAACTTAGGGGACAGGAGCAAAGGGATTGATTTGGATTTCTCTCATGAAAAGGAGACAAACGCAATGAGTTTATTTCTGTAGTTTTCTGCTTGCAATTTTTTTGGGACAAGGGACTTTTGGGACTCACAGCTTAGAGTTTTGGAATCTACCTAATGATTTGTTTAATTTTTTTTCCCATCTTTAGAAGTACCCTCACCTAATTGAATGTATTTTCATTCTGTCCATTATGCCAAATAGTGTGTAATTTGCTAAACATAGATTCACAAAATAGTAAAATTAAATTAATTGCTTCTTGGAATTTATGAAGCTGTTTTAGGCAGCAAAATATATACTTAGCCAAGTTTATTAGCATTGCATGCCAAATGTATTCATTTGGATTAATATTATGAAGTGTAAACCATGTTATACTGAGTCACCTTGTACACAATTCAGAAGAATGCTGATGTATCATTTGTCATGTGTTAAATTCAATTGATTTAAATACTGACGCATGTTTTCTAACAATGACAAATTTACAAATCAGAGCCAAAATCATTTACTTCCTGATCAATGCCCTGACAGACTGCTGCTGAGCAGCAAAAAAGCACATATCCTGGAAACCTGAAACAAAAATATGCTGCAATTGCTAGGGAGGCCCATCAGCCACTAAAACAGGAAAAGACCGATTTGTATTTTGGGTTGAGACCAGTAAAGACTGGTCTTCTTTGACTGCATTTTACCTTTCAGACACCAACATTCTGATTGAATTTCCAGCAATATTTGTTTTTAGTTTAGAAGTACAACACAGGCATTGTGGAGAATTAACTCCAAAGCAAGACCAGATAGTATTACTAACAAAGGTATTATCTATGGTGATAGCAGCTTTCTATTTTGTATGACGGTGGTTTGAGTCGTGATGGTTAAGTCTGCCATAAGCATCAGCTGCTGTGGCTGAGGAGTCCACACTAACATGGCAGTGTCTGCTGCATTAGTTGCAGAGAAAGACAGTGGGATGAAAAGCTTAGGATTCTTTGGCTTCTGTTTTTTATGGTCCTCATCTCAGCCTCCTCAAGTTTTTGCTTCTGTTCACCTCTGCCAATACTCACCTATCCAATACAGTCAGACTCCAAGGATCACAGCCATCAGTGACTGTCCCCCGGTTGTCAATATCATTGTTTACCATTTTCATACCTCGCTTGCAGAGGTATCGACAACCAGGAACTTGTGACTCAGTGTCCATTTCATCACAGAGAATGCTGCCATCATCTATCAGATGAATGTAGCTGAGCCAGTTTAGATATTTTTGGCTCAGCTATGAATGTACGTGGATGGATTTAGAGTGCTCCAGCACCTTTGATTGGTGACCTTGCCCTGCAACTCTTGAGCAATGTCAGATTGATGATGGGAACAGTGAAAGAAAATAACAGTACAGTTTAAGTCCTAACTTCTTCATTTATTTCAGAAATGAAATACATGTTATGGAGCGTGAGAGGATTCCTCTTTCTCTGTACACACAAACAAAAATTAGGAGCAAAAGTCGGCTGTTCAGCCCCTTGAGTCTGAACTACCATTCAATAAAATAATGGCTGACCTGTTTGTCTTTGGAATTTTACATTTCCATCTACCTCCCCAGTAGCCTTATTGTCTTGTTATAGAAGAGAATCAATCTTCTTGTACTTTAAAAATATTCAATGATCTCACTTCCACCGCTTCCTGAAACACAGAGTTCCAAGGTTGCTCAACTCACAAAGAAGAAATTTCTCCTCATCTCAGTCTTAAAAGGACAAGCCCTAATTTTTAAACAGCATCCCTCTAATTCTGGATTTACCCACAAGAGGAAGCATCATTGCCATGTCCACTTTGTCAAGACTGTTCAGGATCTTGTACTCAAATCGAGTTATCCTGAGAAACCTTCAGTATCCTTTATTGTTTTACGTTTTTAACACTCTTCCACTCACATTTCTTCCTCCTGATTAATCTTGTGGCAATTTTTAATATTCTGTCTATTCGCTTGATCTGTCATTTGTTTTTGTGCGGTGTCTTCCTTCAGTTTGATGTTTTGTTTAACTTCGTTAGCTAACCATGGATGATGGATCTTCCCTTGAGAATTTTTCTTCATAGTAGGAACAATGTTCTGAAATATCACTGCCTCTGTATTGATCTACCCCTTGCCTAATGTGCCATTTCACTTCAGCTAGCTCTGCTTTCTGCTCATGTAATTGCCCATCTAAGTTTAAAATATTAGTGTTAGGCTCATCTTCTCTTTTCAAACTAAATTTAAAATTCAATCATAATGGGGTCACTGCTGCCTATGGCAGTCTTTAATCTAAGATCATTAATTAATCCTGTCACATTATACAATATTTAGTCTGGTATAAGCTCCTGTTGGATCGGTTCCAGAATGTCCTGCTCTAAGAAACTATCTCAAAAGCATCTGTGAACTCTTCATCCAGGTTACCTTTCTGATTTTTTTCAGTTCATACATAGACTAAAATCTCCTGCACTCCATATTTATTTTGATACACTTTGTCCTTCATTGTGGTTACTCTTAGTAGCTTATACTCTACCCCTACTATTCTTCATCTCCACTCAAATGAATTCTACATCCTGATCTCCAGAACCAAGGTTATCTCCAACTAAGGTTATCCAACTTGATAAACAGTGCCACAATGCACCTATATCTAGCTTCCTTCTCTTCTTGAATGTCAATATTCACTATCCAAGCCTTATCATTATGTGGCCTTGTCTCCGTAATAGCAATCAGATCATATTTATTTACTTCAATGTGCATTATCAATGAGTTTACTTGGTAATAAATGCTTTGCACATTCTGATGCAGAGCCATTAGCTTTGCCTTTTTTCATCCACATAACATCTCGTGTTGACTGTTGGTGTATTCTTAAACTTATGATCTCTGTTCTTTCCTATCATTCTCTGAGGTTCATTTCCACATATTACTATTTTGTGTTTGCTTGCCTTGACTCTACCCCTTCATTTGCCAGACCTACCCAACCTTAACTCTTACTCATTACCCCCATTGTTCAGTTTGAAGCCTACTCTACTTCACTAGTTATGTGGTGCCAAGTAGTACTATAGGTTTTTATGACAGATTAGGGGCAGGGAATAAGGGGCATGATGTGAATAAGTATTACTGCCTGAAGCCAGAAGAGGCTCATTGTGGATGATGATAAATCAATGGTTCAATAACATTTGGATGATGGCATAACATGTGAGTTACCCTGTATGGTGAGAACTAATTGTGGGCTAAGACTGCATGAGGGTTAACCTAAGCTTTTATAGTAAAGTGAGGGAGGAATAAATTTGTTATGGTTTCAAATTGCAGTAGCTTTTTTTTAAACTCAAGATTTGGGAAAACGCCATGCAGCATGAAATGGATACACCACATGAAAGTGTGAAAAATTTCAAAGTATAAGTAATTCTATATTTTGCAACATGTTTATGTCTGTGGCTAAATTTTGAGACATTGTCCAAATAGATATGGTAAAATAGCTGTAAAACAAATCCAAGAAATTGTCTAGACATTGAACGCGTATCTGTGGGTTTATTTTTGGAGCCAATCTCTTCATTTATTTGTGCCCATTCTCAGAAAGAGACCATTCCATCTAAAATAGATTTAACGAACTTGAGGTAAGTGATCAGATTTTTAATATGATATAAACCAAGTTTTGCAGAAAACAATGAGTGCAATTGAAGTGAAGGTTATTTTAAGATGTAGTCATTGTGTAACAGCCTAAACTTGTGGCTTTTTTCTTTTGTTCTAGTCGAAATCAACTCTCGACATTACCATTGTGCCTCTGTGCTCTTCCTCTTAAAGTCTTGATAGCCAGTAACAATAAATTAGTGTCGCTTCCAGAAGACATTGGACAGTTGAAATATTTAATGGAACTGGTATGTATTTTTTTATGCCCTGCATTTAATAAGCCTGATCCTTATGGCTGCAAATTCACTTGCACCTTGTCAGCATTCAACTCTTTTGCACTTTATTGAAGTATATTTTAACAATGTTGACCAATGAGCAGCAGTTGTCACACTTTAACTTTCTAGAGAGATCCATATTCTTGTTGTTAAGTAACGCACATACAAAAGTACAAATGCAGAGTCACCCGATCTAAAATATTTCCAGTATTCCGAACGCTTTGTGCAGCATGATTGTTTTGAAATGCCTGCATGCTTATGTTTTCTTTAAAGCTTGACGTTAAGCTTCTAGATTTCATTAAATTATATTAATAGAGGATCCAAAGCAAAAGACCACAACTCATATTTGTGACATCACCGTGGTTTAAAAATAACTAGGAAGATGTAACAGATCAGGAACCAATAATGAGGTGACTTTTAAGATTTGTACTTAAAAGCAATAAGATTGTAGTGAAAAAGAAAGAACAAAGAAGGTGAGGGATTGTGTAGTTTTGATTTCCTAGGAAAGATATGTTGATATAGCAAACTGCCTTCTTGATTTCAACACAAGGCGTCAGAAGAACTTTGAGAGGAAACCTTAGAAGGATCCTGACCTTTGTAAGATTAAGAAAATAAAGACATAAAACATCATAGTGGAGAGAGAAGAGGTTGGAGATGAGAAACAAGTTTTTTTTTTGTCCAGGATTACAGAGATATGTTAGAGAACACGATCCCCAATACTGATCCCTACACAAACATGGACTTCACAGCAAATTTAGAGTTGTTGGAGGATAGAACGTATCTGACATGAAAGAGGAAAGTGAACTTCTTGGAGTCAGCCTTAGGAATGAAAAAGAGAAAGTAAAGGGGAAAGAGCTTGCATCATTGCCACAGTTCTGCAATCTTTAAATATCCCAGAAGTCATTGCAGCTATTTATGTAAATTTGAATAAAAGCAAAGTACTGCAGATGCTGGAAATCTGAAACAAATGTAAAATGCTGAAGAAACCCAGCGTTTCTGGCAGCATCTGAGGAGAGAGAGAAAACAACAGTGTTACTAGTTCAAGTCCAGTGTGACTCTTCTTCAGAATACAAGTTCTTTGGAACACAAGAACACAGTTCTACAAGAGCAGGTCAGAGGCTTGGAATACTGCAGATAGTAACTCACCTCCTGACTCCCCAAAGCCTGTCCACCATCTACAAGGCCCAAGTCAGGAGTGTGATGGAATACTCCCCAACAGCATGGGCAGGTGCAGCTCCAACAGCACGTAAGAAGCTTGACATCACCCAGGGCAAAGCAGCCACTTGATTGGCACTAAATCCACAAGCATCCACTCCCTATACCACGTGTGTACTATTTACAAGATACACTGCAGAAATTTGCCTAGACTCCTCAGACAGCATTTTCCAAACCCACAACCATTTGGAAGGACAAGGTCAGCAGATCCATGGGAACACCACCATCTGTGAGTTCCTATCCAAGCCACTGACTATGCTAACTTGGAAATATTTTGTCATTTCTTTAGTGTTGTTGGGCCAAAATCTTGGAGTTCCCTCCCTAGGGGCATTATGGATCCAACTACACCACATGGGCTGCAATGGTTCAAGAAGACAGCTCACAACCACCACCTTGCGGGCAACTAGGGACGGGCACTAAATGCCAGCCAACCAGCGACGCCCATGTCCTAGACATAAATAAATCAAAAGAAAATAGGAAATTAAGACAGTCTGTGTATGGCAAGGTCCCACAATCATCAATCAATGGTCAGTTTTTTTTTTAGTGAGGGTTGAAGGATAAATGCTGCCTGTTCACTTGCCAAATCTCTTGGTTCTACTTTGGGAGTATGGGATGCTATGGGATCTTTCGTGGCCATGATAGTGCAGACAGGACTTCAGTTCAATATCCTTTCTAAACAGCAGCACTCACAATACTGCAGCATGCTCTCAGTGACAGCTAAAATTTCAACCTTGATGCTGGGCTGAAATCTTTGGGGTGAGGCAGAGGTGAAGGTGCTACTGACTGAAGCAAGGCTGACATTTGAACTAAACGGGACAATATAGTGCAACCAGAAAGGAAGATATATGTTAAGGACTTGGAGGATGAAGTGAATGTACAATAACCAAATTTGCAGAGAACAGAAAAATAGGTGGAAAGGCAAGTTATAAGAAGGATGCAAACAGTTTACAGAGAGATATTAAAAGGTTAAGTAAGTTGGCAAATTACTTATAGTGTGGGGAAAGTGAAGTTGCTCATCTTGGAAGGGAGAAGAATGAGCAGAGTATTATTGAAATGGAGAAAAGCAGTAGAAACTGCAACCTAAAGTGACCTGGGGTATTTCTGCATGAAACACTCAAAGCTAGTGCCCAGGAGTAGTAGGTAATCAGGAAGACTAATGGAATGTTCACCCTTATTTCAAGCCAATTGGAGTATAAGAGCAGGGGAAGTCTTCCTGTAACTGTACAAGTGATGGCAAGACCACATTTGTTGTACTACGGACAATTTTGGTCCCCTTATTTAGAAAAAGAGGCAGTTCAGAGAACAAGGATGATCCCTGGTATGGAGGGATTGTCTTATGGGCAAAGGTTAAACAGGTTGGGACTCTACTCAATCAATTTAAAGATGATCACATTAAAATATACAGAATTCTTGAGGGGCTTGACAGGGTAAACGCTGAGATGATATTTCCCCTCATGGGAGAGTTTAGGATCAGAGAGCATAGTCTCAGAATAAAGTGGCACCAATTTAAAACTGAGATGAGGAGGAATTTCTTCTGCCAGAGAGTTGAGAGCCTTTGGAACTGCTTGCCACAGACAGCTGTGGGGGCAGAGTCCTATTGTATATTTAAGGCTGAGGTAGATAGATTCTCCATCAGTTGGGGAATCACAGATTATGGGGAAAGGTCAGGAAGCAGGACATGAGGAATATCAGCTCAGCTGTGATCCTGTTGAATGAGGAAGCAAGCTTGAGGGGTCGAATGGCCTACTTCTGTTCCTATTTTGTCTGGTCTCACGGTGATTGAGTAACTCTGGGAAGATAGTGTGCCAAAATCATACCGTACATTAGTTCTGTTCTTTACTCACTATCTACATTGCAAAATGATCACCATTGTCTGTTGAATTTTTGCAGTTCAAGAAATTTACATTCATGTCATTTGTATTCCATTCCACAAATTAATTGTAATGATCTTAATGTAACACTTGTATTAAGCAGTACTATATAACAGGATGTCATAAGCAGCATCATTCAAGAAAAGAATATGAGATTCGGTGGGACAGCATACTCGTAACCATGAGAGATACCTGTACACCTATTTCTTCATGCAATAAAATTTTGACTTTAGTATGATGTTGGGAGGCTATAAAGAACTGTGAGAGATGGAGATTACGAAAGGAGGGGGTGAGAATGCAGAGTTTCTCAGCACTATGTCCAGGACTGCTTTCTGATTTTGATCAAAAAAGGAAAGTAGCTGGATTTAGTTCTGAGAAGTAAAATGCAGCAAGTAGGAAATGAATGGGTAAGGAAAAGTTCAGGATGCAGCCACAGGTAGATTTGATATGAAAATGGGAAAGGTATGGCATCAGTCAGTTGAAGATACTCAGCTGATAAAAAAAAAATAAATAATCCCAGATAAACTGAGAAGAATCGGTAGATGTGGCAATGGAGGAACAAAAGAACTTAAATTTACGACCAAATACATTGCTAAGCTTTTCAAACAGGATCAGTGTACATTGCTAAGGAAGGTTGTGAGGGACTGGAAGAGGCTTTAAGCTCAATATTTCAACCAATCTCTACCCAAGAGGAAAGGGATAAATCAGACCTGGGAGACAGATCTGAACATTTGTGAAACCCATGCATATCATTAGCTGGACTGCACTTGTGTCCTGTTTTGTTAACTCTGCTTTTATGTCAAAGCCCAGAGATGAAACATATGGGATTTGCAAAGGAAAAAAAAATGACGTGCTATAAATATTTGGAGGCACTAGAGAAATTGAGATTTTTGCATGTGAAAAGAAATTCTGAAGGAACCTAATGTTAAAAATTAGAGGTCTTGAGAAGGTAAGTAGGGGAAATTATTTCCAAAGGCACAGAGTTGGAAGTTTAAAGGCATACATTTTAAATCTTCACCAAAAGATTTAAGGGAAATGTGATTTTTTTTTAGTACAGAGTCATGAAGATGGGATTATCAAAGGCTAATGAAAGCAGAATTACTTGTAAAATGGAAGTGTATAAGTATTCGAAAAAAAGAGAAGCATTTTAAAGGGATGTGGAAAGGTCGAGGCATTGAGATTGTTTAAAAAGTTCTTTAAAAGCTGCCAGAAACATGAAGTACTGATTGACCTCCTTTTGTACTGCAAAATGGCACATGTCAAATTTAATTCCACTACTTTACCTGGTTAATTATTCTGAACCCTTTTGAGTAAATAAATGTTCCCTAAGATTGGTTTTACACATGTCCTTCACCAATGACCAATCTCTTTCAAATGTAAGCATTAAGATTCTCAAGTATCTCCTCGTAATGCATCCACTTTTTATCTCCTGGGATCATTTTTGTTGTTGTTCTCTTTCGAAAAGCCAGGATATCCTTTTCTGAGATGAGGTGACTAGAAATGCACTCTTTTTCCAACTGAGAACTGACTAATGCTTTCCGAAGTTGCGGTACAACCCATATATATATATTTGTAGTTCGCTCTTCTGGCTCTGTGTCCAAACATCTGATTTGTCTTTAATCCTCTCTATCTCCATTGCTTAAGCTCTCTCCTCAGTGTCATACTTCTTTCTTGCTTTCTCTACCTTGCTGTCTGTAGCTCTTTGTGGCTTTTTTGGGAACAGAATCTGGATAAGTGAGATGATGTACTTAGGCAGGACAACAAGGCAAGGGACTACATGATGAACAGTAGCACTGGGAAGGAGGATCAGAAGATCTTAGCACACATGTCCACCAGCCCCTTAAGATAGCGGGACATATAGATGAAGTGGTTAAGAATGCATATGGGATACCAGCCTTTATTTATAAAGTTTAAATGCAGGGAGGACATGCCGGAACAGTATGAAATGTTGGTTAGACCACAGCTGGAATATTGTGTGCAGTTCTGGAATCCACATCATACAATGGATGTGATTATACTTGAGAGGAGCAGAGGAGTTATACCAGGATGTTGCTGGGCTGGAGAGTTGGGTTATGAAGAAAGATTGGATAGACTGTTTGTTTTCCTTGAAGTAGATAAGTCAGAGGGAGGCTACATAATTGAGTTGAATGAAATTATGTGGTGCATAAATAGGGTAGATCAGAAGGAACTTTTCCCCTTGGTGGAGGGCTCAATGACCAGGGGGCATAGATTTAGGGTAAGGGCAGGAGGTTTAGAGGAGATATGTGAGGAAACTGTTTTTTTCAACCAAAGGATGGTGGGAATCATCTGTCAGGTTGACAGAGACAGAAACTTTCATAATATTTGAGAAGTATTCATACGTGCACATGTGAATGCCAAGACACACGACGTTGGACCAGTTGCTGGAAAGTGGCATTAGAATCAGTGGGAAAGTGGGGTTAGATATTTGTTTTTGACCAGTAAAGATCTCTGAGTTTGAAGGTCCTTGTTCAGCCAAAGTCTGGAAACTTGATCACTGTAGTGCAGCACTGAGGGTCTGCTGCTATTTTGTGTGAGACATGGTCATTCATTTAAGATGCCTCCTCTGCTGTCTTGGGTCCGTGGCTTCAAGGGTCTTGAAGATCCTGTGACACTATTTGAAAGAGTGGAATTCTGCACCCAGCATCACTAACTGCTATAATTTCATTATTGCATTGCTGTTTGTGGGTATTTGCACATGCGAACTAGGTGGCCAATTTCTTGCATTATAACAGTGACTACACTTTAAAAACATTTATTGTGTGTAAAGTACTTTGGAAGGACCTGAGCTCATAAACCTTGAAAGGTGTTAATAAAATGCAAATTATAACAATATTTACTCTTTTGCATATTCTCATACATTCTTTCCCTGTTCTGCTTTTCATCATGCATTCTCAAACCTCTTCATCTCTCTCGTGTTCTCTTTGGTCTCTCTTAGATTCATTCTTACTGTAATAGAGAGATAAGCACCGTGTTCCCTTTAAGTTAATTTGATTGTAATTTCTGTACAATTCTGTACGGGAAGTAGATTATAATTTCCAGAAAGAATTCTCATGATTACTTTCTTTTTGCTCCCTTTTAATGTTCAGGATGTGAGCTGCAATGAAATTACAAGTTTGCCACAGCAGATCGGACAACTTCAGTCACTCAGAGAGTTGAACATAAGGCGAAATTACCTGCAGATTTTACCAGAGGGTGAAGCTGTCTTTAAATTTCTCAGTATCTTACTTATTCCAGAACAGGCAGTGAAATAATAGAAAAACTAAAATTATTTGATTTTTATTTTTGCAGAGTTAGCAGACCTCCCACTTGTGAAGTTAAACTTTTCCTGCAATAAGATTGTGTCAATACCAATCTGTTACAGGAATATGAGGCACTTGCAAATAATAGAAATGGATAATAATCCGCTACAGTCTCCACCAGCACAGGTTAGTTGCTTTTAACTTCCAGAATACTGAAAAAGTTCTAAATTTGCTTTAAAATGATTTTAGATGCGGGTCGTGTAGCATGTTCCTGAGGCCATTTAGTGCTCGAATGGAACAGGTGATTGGAACTGACAAGTCAATTTGAGGAAAGTTGCCTTCAGCTGTTTTAGTTCTAATGGAGTAGCAATTGTATGCCAGTACCATAAGCCTTAATGGCACCCACTTAAGTGCCACAGTAATGTATGTATGTGCGGACATTAGCGCACATAAGTAGCTTAGAATTAATGACCTGCATGTATTAAATCTGTTGAAGTAAGGGTCACAAAATATTGGAGGTTGCAGTACTATAGTTTATGTTTTCTCAAATATTCAGCATTGTTCCAACACATGAGCCAACATGCAAAGATGACCGTATCCCTGCATTGGTCAGGTTTAGCATCTGCTGTTTGATTTCAAATACCTCTGGACACTGGAGTTCCTCTAAGAAAAATAAACAAACAGTGAAATTCACAGCTGACCTTGGAGAAACCTGTGTGGGGAGATCACAGCAGGGGAGCAGCTAAGTGGCTAGTTTTTTTTTGTAAGTTTACGAGAGTGAGTAGAGTGGGTTCTTTTTGATTATATGTTTTTATAGAGATATGTCTCTTGATTAAACTTTAAAAATATAAAACACAGGTACTAAATTAGCCTGGAGCAGTGTTTTTAGAGCAGTAAGACTGTGCAATTTTCAGGGTAGAGTGATGAGCTCTTTCTGTCAAATGTGGGAGATTAGGGAAAGTTGCCATATTACTGATGATTATATCTGCAGGAAGTGTGCTTGGTTGCAAATCCTATTGGATTACATGGATCAGTTAGAGCAGCAGTTAGAGACAATGAGGAATTTACAGGAGCTGGGAGTGTGATGGATGGCAGTTGCAGGAAGGGAGATAAACTGAAGATTCAGTCAGCTGGATAGGTTACCTCCAGGAAAGGTAGGAGAGGGAGGCATTTTTGATTAAGGATAACATTACTGCTGTACTTAGGCAGGACATTGCTAGGAATATGTCCAGGGAAGTCATTGGGTGGAACTGAGAAATAAGAAAGGGATGATCACCTTATTGGGATTGTACTATAGACCCCCAGGAAATTGAGAAACAAATTTGTAGGGAGACCTCAGTTATCTGTAAGAATGATAGGGTGGTTATGGTAGGGAATTTTAATTTTCCTAACATAAACTGGGACTGCCATGGTGATAAGGGCTTGGATAGAGAGGAATATAAGTGTGTAAGAAAATTTTCTGATTCAGCATGTGGATGTACCTACTACAGAAGGTGAAAAGCTTGACCTACGCTTGGGAAATAAGGCAGGGCAGGTGACTGAGGTGTCAGTGGGGGAGCACTTTGGGGCCAGTGACCATAATTCTATTAGTTTAAAATAGTAATGAGAAAAGATAGACTGGATCTAAAGTTAAAGTTCTAAATTGGAGGAAGGCCAATTTTGACAGTATTAGCAAGAACTTTCAAAAATTGACTGGGGGCAGACGTTCGCAGGTAACAGGAAGGCTGGAAAATAAAAGTCTTCAAAAATGAGATAAGGAGAATCCAGAGACAGTAAGTTCCTGTTAGGGTGAAGGGCAAGGCTGGTAGTTGTAGGGAATGCTGGGTGACGAGAGAAGTTGAGGTGTTGGTCAAGAAAAAGGGGGAAATGTCAGGTATAGACAGCAGAGATCAAGTAAATCCCTAGACAAGTATGAATGCAGTAGGAGTATATTTAGGAGGGAAATCAGGAGCCCAAAAAGCAGACATGAAATAGCTTTGGCAAATAGGGTTAAGGAGAATCCAAGGGGACAAAAGGATAACTAGGGAGAGAATAGGGCTCCTTAAAGATCAGCAAGGCCGCCTATGTGTGGAACTGCAGGAGATGGGGGAGATAGTAAATGAATATTTAGCATCACTGTTTACTGTGGAGAAGGATGTAGAAGATGCAGAATGTGGGGAAATAAATAGCGACGTCTTGAAAAATGTCTGTTACAGAGGAGATAGTGCTGGATGTTTTAAAACGCACAAAGATGGATAAATCCCCGGGACCTGATTAGATGTACCCTAGAGCTCTGTGGGAAGTGATTGCTGGGTCCCTTGCTGAGATATTAGTATCATCGATAGCCACAGGTGAGGAGGTGGAAGACTGAAGGTTGGCTAACGTTGCGCCGCTATTTAAGAATGGTGGTAAGGAAAAGCCAGGGAACTGTAGACCAGTGAGCCTGACATCAGGCAAGTTGTTGGAGGGAATCCTAATGGACAGGATTTACATATATTTGGAAAGGCAAGGACTGATCATGAATAATCAACATGGCTTTGTGCGTGGGAATTTTGTCTCATGAACTTGATGCGTTTTTTGTAGAAGTAACAAAGAGGATTGATGAGGGCAGAGCAATGGATGTGATTATATGGACTTCACTAAGGCATTTGACAAGGTTCCTAATGGTAGGCTGTTAGCAAGGTTAGATCACATGGAATACAGGGAGAACTAGCCATTTGGATACAGAATTGGCTTGAATGTAGAAGGCAGAGGGTGGTGGTGGAGGGTTGCTTTTCAAACTGAAGGCCTGTGACCAGAAGTGTGCCACAAGGATCGGTGCTGGGTCCACTGCTTTTTGTTATTTATATAAATGAATTGGATGAGAACATAGGAGGTATGGTTAGTAAGTTTGCAGATTGGAGGTGTGGTGGACAGCAAAGAAGGTTACCTCAGTGTACAATGGGACCTTGATCAGATGGGCCAATGGAACGAGGAATGGCAGATGGAGTTTAATTTAGATAAATGTGAGGTGCTGCATTTTGGAAAGGCATTTCAGGGCAGGACTTAATGGAGATGTCCTGGAGAGGGTTGCTGAACAAAGACAGCTTCGAGCGCAGGTTCCTAATTCCTTAAAAGTGCAGTTGCAGGTTGATAGGATAGCGAAAAAGGTGTTTGGTATGTTTGTCTTTATTGGTCAGTCCATTGAGTATAGTAGTTGGGAGGTCATGTTGCAGCTGTACAGGACATTGGTTCAGTCACTTTTGGGGTATTGTGTGCAATTCTGGTCTACCTCTATAGGAAGGATGTTGTGAAACTTGAAAGGGTTCAGAAAAGATTTATGAGGATGTTGCCAAGGCTGGAGGGTTTGAGCTGTAGGGAGACGCTGAATTGGGGTTATTTTCCTTGGAGCGTTGGAGGCTGAGGGGTGACCTTACAGAGGTTTATAAAATCATGAGGGGCATGGACAGGGCAAATAGGGAAGGTCTTTTCCCTGGGGCGAGGGAGTCCAAAACTAGAGGTCATAGGTTTAAGATGAGAGGGAAAGATTTAAAAGGGACCTAAGGGGAAAATTTTTCCCGCAGAGGGTGGTGCGTGTATGAAATGAGCTGTGAGAGGAAGTGGTGGAGGCTGGTACAATTACAACATTTAAAAGGCATCTGATGGGTACATGAATAGGAAGGATTTAGAGGGAGATGGGCCAAATGCTGGCAGATGCGACTAGATTTATACAGGATGTCTAGTCGGCTTGGACAAGTTGGACTGAAGGGCCTGTTTCCATGCTGAGTATCTTTATGACTCTATAATAAACGGTGCTTGACGAGACTTTGTTCCATTACCATTACTCAGGTCAACTTCAGATAAGTAATCACTTTGACCAGAATCCCAAAGACAAATATATAAAAGATATAGTGTCCAGTAATTCAGAGCATAGGACACCAATTGGTTCCTACAAGTTGTCCATGAGTCTTACCCCAGAGTCCTTGTAAAACAAACATACCAACTAAACAGCCATGCCTTGGACATGGTGTAGGCTAATTCCACTTCATACATATGCTTTGAAAAGAGGTTTAGGTTAGTTTTTGCTCTAAGCTGTAATTAGATTGTGGGAAATTGTCTAGGAAGTATTTTATTGGTCATAGACAGGGAGCTTGCTAAAAGACGTAAAGCCCTGAAGAGATCTTGTCTTGTACAGGCACACAGAACTCTTTCTATTTCATGGGTTGATCCCAAAATTGAGAGGACTTATTTTCTCAGAATTTTTGCACGTATTTCCCATGGAATGTTTGGTCCAAGGAGTTCGGAAGACTGTTTACCAAGAATATGCCATGTTCCTTTATCTAAGATAATTCATTCTCGACTTGCGTAACTTCGCTATATCCCAAAGATTGGGAGCCAGTGATCTATTCAGCGCTTAGCTGTTCACTATAATGATCATGCCTTCTAAGTATTGGACTAAAGTAGACTGTTCCTTGACCCTTCTATAACTAATTGCTGATTGTCCCATTGTGGGGAGTTGTTTGGAAGATCAAATGTGGCTGGGTGCATTCTACAAGATATATTTAACAGCAGAATGTCCACTCTACTTTCCAGGGTTTCTGTTTTATGCTTATGAAAATCCCATCAGCACCCAACAAAAGTCGAGGGCTATAGGAAAACATCCTGCTTGACAGCATGTCTTAATTTTTCTCCTTTGATCTGACACATTTGCCAAATTAAGTGCTTTATTTTGGGGTTCTTCATGTTTCATCTATTAAATTTTCCTTTGCAGGAATTTCGTGGGAATTTCATGGGAAACATTGCTGGGAATACTCTCACTCTGGCATTGTTGCTGTGTAGTGAATGCTTGGATTGTGTATGAAGTTGACTTGATGAGCTTGTAAATCTGTCCTGGACTCACAGAATTTATGCCTCTCTATTTTGGAATTTTGGAATATATTTAAATTAATTTTCTGGAATAATTAATAATCACCAGTGTAAAGTCAGCCTTAAAAACAAGTTGCAAAAAATCAGTGGTGTTAGTTTTTTATTTATGGTTCAGAATTTCTGTTCTATTCAGAAAGGGAGTGTTCTATTTGGCTTTGAAGCTCCTGTCTTGTACTTTTATTGGTTTTGCTGAAGAATAGCTGAATGGGTCTGTTTTACACTATGTTGAAAATGCAGAAGATAGTATGCAAGACTGACAGGGTAATAAAACATGACAATTGCAGATCTCATAATGATGGATAGGGTGACGTCAATGAGGCAGTGCAGTGCGTTTGCTAAAATCACATTCAGTGCACGCAGCACTGCGTCATTGAGTGAAATTGCAGCACCTCATTCTGAACTCAGGTCTCTGAGTAACACCACAAAATTGTCTCTGCTATGCTATTGTATTTTGAAGAGTATTGTGCATAACGTCGCATTTGAAAACGTGAAGCTCGTCGCAGTTATGAGTATCGGATGTGAATTTTTTGGGGATACAGCCTACAGATCTCTCCTTTTTTATGATTAGATCTGCATGAAAGGCAAAGTACACATATTCAAGTACTTGAATATAGAGGCGTGCAGAATTGACAAGAATGCAGAATCCCTTTATCAGCAACCCATAGAGAAGGTTCGTGTGCCGCAGACTGTTGGAGGGAGGTAAGTTCCAAAAGCATTCTTTGTAATTTGTGATCTATGCTTTGATATGAAATCAATAATGAGTCACTAGAGATTTCCAGGCCTGCCAACACACTTAATTTTATCACAAGAGACAGGAGTTCTTGGTTCTATTAAACCTCTCTTAATTTGTTGAGAGAGTGCTAATGTCCCACAGTTTCGTCAGGAAACACATTTCTCCCTGTGCAAAAATGAATAATTGTTTTCAGGTCAGAGGCTTCTTATAAAATATTTACATAACTTCTGGAGGCATCAATTTAAATTGAAAATCCAGAGAACACATGCAAGCTGTTACCAGTTGTTAAATCCTTGATCTGTTTGGCTGACTGCAGCTCAGTCTGTGCACCTTTCTGCTAAGTTAGAATGGAAATGAAAACAATGTGTCGTTGTTGCTTGCCTTTTTTCTTTTGATTGCTGCTTGACAAGCCTGGGCCTGGGCCTGGACCAGGTTGCTGACCTCTATCTGGCCAGTGACTGCAGGCTGGACTTTTTCAGATGTGCTGGTTGGCTTAAACAGCTGGGAGGATGGGAGTTGTCTTAAATTCAGGGGGTAACCCTTTCATCCATCTCCAACTCCTTTGGAAGTTTGTGGGGCCTGCAGTAGAGTTGCTGGGTAACCTGTGGGCCCTTGGGTGTATTGAAGCCCTCAGGTATGTGAATAATGGCCACTTTAAGACCTCAACCTGCCTCTGCTGGTATTTTATCTACAGCAAGTGGAGGCCCACCCAAATAATTAGCCCAGCAGTTTTAGCTTCATGGGCCGGTATCAGGCAAGGTGGGGAAGCCTTCTTTGTGAGACTCTTTCCTCACTTGAGGCATTGCTGCCTACTCAGGATCATGTTTCCCCCTTTACCACACTTCCATCACTGATCTCTCAAACCTGTCCCCTCACCTGCCAACTTAACCCTGGCAGAAGGGGCTCTTGTGGCACAGTGATAGTGTCCCTACCGCTGAGCCAGGAGTGCAGAATCAAGTCCCACTCGCTCCAGATCTGTGTCATAACATATGTAAACAGGTTGATTAGAAGTAGCTAAGCTTGGCAGAATCCCGTATACCTGCCTTGGTGTCTGGTTCCAGTGACAGACTCCACTGGGCAACTGGAGTAGTCCGAGCAGTGCCCATCCCTCCCACCAGAAGCTGTTGGGGCTCCAGGGAGGCAGCCTTTTGGGAAAAGGCTTCCTGTCTCTGAGCAGTGGAAATCCCACCTCTGGCACGTTATGACAGCATGGCAGCCATTCCACTATAGCCAGGCTACGAACGAGGACTTGGGTGGGTGGACAGAGATCATTATACCAGGTGAAATCTAGCCCTCTATTACAGAGAGCAGCTGTAGCTGATACATTTTATGTATTGTGCCCTCGTTATACCCTGACTTCCTCTGACAAACAGCACTAATCACTTCTCAGGAAGTAAGTAGCTGGCTATTGTTAAATGGTCAGTGCACACTTACTGTATAAACAACCACATCATTACAATTACTGAATAGTTTATGTATTTTAATGTACCCAATGTTCATATGAAATATGAATAATATGACAACACCTGATACATTCATATTAAATAAAAGCATATGTAATAGAATCTTCTTGGTACAGATCAATTTATAATTTTTTAATAGTGACGCTCATTTAATTTGCCTTCACGCTACCATTCAAAATGAGAAAATAATCACATAATTTTCTTTCAAAAAAGTCATCGAAGTGAGTGGGTTTTCTCTAATATGCTGTTGATATAGCTGAGTGGCTTGGTTAAATGAATTCTAAGAGGGTGATATTGAGTTCAAAGGGATTTGAAACAATCTCTCCCAGACTCATTAGGGGATCAGGCTTCCTTCCTCGAATGACATGACTAGACCAATTGGGGTTTTTATGACAAACTTGTTTTATGGCCAAACTGTAACCAATTTCAACAGTTTAATTTTTCTCTGAATTGTGGGATTTGAACTCCTAATACCTGGAGCTACTGGTCCAATGCCAGAGCCACAAGGCTACTTGCTCTCCTTCAATAATTCAGTAAATCAGGATTCTTTGTACATCAAGTAAATTTTATATTCCCTCATTGTGGAACTTTGGTGCTCCCTGGTGGACATTTCCCCATTTTTCTCATTTCTGATTTTCTCATACGGAGCAAAGGTAAAGGTGCCAGAGTCCAACATGACCACAGGACAGTTCCCTCATTAGACAGGGACAACTGGTGATGAGTTTGACCTAAGGGTCACCATGCCACACCTTCATGGTAACCTTAGATAATTGGTGGCTGACTGCATCAAGGCACACCATGGCATAGGGAGTAGGTCTGGAACAGCCCCCACTGTTACTTGCCCAGTTGTGTGAGGTGAGAGCATCTCATTACATTTATAATTGAATGTTTGGCTGCCTCAGTTCCAGCCCGTCTCCTAGACATGAGATCCTGTCCTCTGTGAAGACTCTAAGAAGAAGGAGTTAATCTTCACTGGGAATAGGCAGCTGATGCATGAAGCTATAACCCAGATCTCTCCTGCACTCGTTTTGCAGACCTGTTCGATTAAGAGTGAAAACAGTGGGAAGATGAGAATGTTACGGGCGCTGCAGCTAGTGGTCTTCTCAGGGTAGATTTGAGTCACACTGTTTCGGCAGAAAGATCACTCCTCGGTCTTTAATTAATGACTATCTACTAACTTGTGGTATGTGGGGTCCAAAATGGAATTGTCTGCTCTCCAGTGTCATCATTGTTCACCTTGACCCAGATTATATGCAATTAAAGAAAAGTAATTGGCTGAAAAAAAGCATTAACGATCATTAATTGCTAGGAAATCAAAAAGAAAATGAGCTGTTCTTTTTTTAAATGTCAAATGCATAATCAGCAATTCCCAGAGTTATAAGTGTTGTACATTAGTGAAATTAATGTTCAATTCTTACTGAATCTGTGCCAATTGGGGATTATTTGGATAAATCATACTGTTCACTGGGAATTGCTAATTCCACACACACTTTTATACTAATGATTTTAAGTGATTCGAGACTTTGCTCATTTTCAGCGGGAGTAGTGGTTTAGACAGTGTGATGTTTCGATGAAGGCAGCTTCAGTATTTGAATTCTCGTTCCTTTTTTAAGCATCGAAGACGTTTATCCTGACAAAAAGCAAGATTTTGACTCCGGAATTGGGAGTGACAATGGTGACAAACGCCTGTCAGCGACTGAAGTAAGTATTTCTGCCATCTTAATATATCCATTTGACAGGCAATGCTGCTAAAATAACGGATTCTCCAGTCTCATTGGCTTAACTGAACACGAAGGCAATTCAGAGAAGGCACAGTCTTTTTAGCATAGCTCACATCTCTCTTCCCATGTTATCGGTTTTGCAGATGCTTTTCACGATAAAAAGCATGCATTTGACATGAGCCTGCATTTTATTTTTATAACAGGTTGTAACGGTGGCACAGTGGTTAGCACTGCTGCCTTACAGCTCCAGGGAGCCAGGTTTGATTCCAGCCCTGGGCGACTCTCTGTCTGTCTGTGTGGAGTTTGCACATTCTTTTCGTGCCTATGTGAGTTTCCTCCGGGTACTCTGGGTTTCCTCCCACAGTCCAAAGGTTAGGTGTATTGCCCATGCTAAATTGTCCAGGGATGTGTAGGTTTGGTGGGTTAGCTCTGGTAAAACGGGTTGCAGGAATTAGGGTGGGTGTTGAGATGCTCTTTGGAGGGTCAGTGCAGGCTTGATGGGCCGAATGGGATTCTGTGATTCTATGATTCTTCTATATTTAGGCACTTTACCATCTGAACAATAATAGAGAACGTGATCTTGATTCAAAAGGCCTGTAAATTTCTCAGTAGTCAGTATATATCACATCTGCTCACAGGATTGTGCATTTTTTTTTGCATACCTTTGAGATTCAGCAACTCTTCAAGGAATAAACAGAAAATTGTGTAATTGGCCAGTCTGGCATGCTAAGCCTTGCCATAAATGGACTTGTTAATTGAATCCGAATTTGACAGTATAAACTTTAAGCTTGCTGTTGTAAAGTATATTAAAATTCTATCTGAAGTCAGGAATGAAAATCCAATAATTAACAGTTTTCTAATGACTGAAAGCTGTAGGCGGTTGGTCGAGGTTGATCAGGCTATGGTACAATTATCTTGCGAGCGAGTGGAAAGAAGCTTTTTGAAAAAGTAAAATTGCTGTTTGTAGAAAATATTGCCAACTTAGAAAACATGTATCATCTGAATTACAGGATTTTTATTTATTTTTTGCGACTTTGTAATGCACTGGCCAAGCAAACGAATATTGTTGGGGTTGCATAGTGCTATTTAGTTTGAATCATTTTCTACTGCTGTCATTTTGCATTTAGACCATAAAATGCAGCGGCTAAGATGCACAGGAAATGCCAATACAAATCTAATTGAGCATATAACTGCTCCTGGATTTTAATCTATTTATTTACTTGTGGTGTTTCTTATTTATGCACCAATTAAATAAGCCTCTAGTGGCCAGGAAGCAGGAAGAGCTCAGCTCAAATATTCCATCCTAAACTTGAGTGTTGGGACTATGTCAAATCTTAATTCTCTGTTATTAAAATAAGAGTGAGGTTTTTGTACCTTTTTGTGTTTTTTTCTTTCTGGAATCTGTGATGTTGAAGAGTATGTGTAGAATTGTTGCTTTTAACTTGCACTTGTTCATGCAAAATAATACCAACCAGAAAACAGGAAAAAAATAGCTTCTTTTATTGCTGCTGGATTTTTCATT